AGCAGAGCTTATTTTAGGACTAGACTTAAGGGAAAACCTACATAGGGTGCATCCCATGTGGATTGAAGAAAAGACTCTGACCCTTTCTAGAGTTTGTATCAGAACTGTAGGGCCCTTAGGCATGGTAACAGAAGTATGAGTGGACCTATCCCCTTCTGGGGCTCTTATGCCCTTTCCAGACAACTATCATTTCATACAGACATCATAGCTAAAAGATCATTTTGAAAATAAACACAACTGGCCAGGTGCTAGTAGCTCACACCTGTAATCCTAGCTACTCAGAAGAATGATATCTGAGGATCGTGTTTTGAAGCCAGCCCAGAGAAGAAACTCCTTGAGATTCTTATCTCCAATAAAATACTCAAAAAAGCCAGAAGTGGTGCTGTGGCTCAAGTGGTAGAACTCTCGACTTGAGCACAAAGAAGCTCAGAGACAATACCCAGGCCCTGAGTTCAAGCCCCAGGACTGGCAAAAAAAGAAGGAGGAGGAGAAGGAGGTGGTAGAAGAAAACAAAACACTATTGAAAATTAATTAGAAAAAGGACATTGACTGGTAGGCATCAAGTGATCTCTGCATTCAGAGTACATGTCTGTCAGGCCCATTAGTGACATCTGGTCAGGATGAAGCAGAGTTGAAACTGTACAGCATCTCTTCTACCCAGATACCTAGTAGTGACAAATAAGCTATAAAAAACACCTCCAGAGACATGAATGCAAGCTCAGAAATAAGATACACAACTCAAGGGAGCAGAGTGAAGCCACAGTTCCCAGGTTATGAAGCAGGTAGTTGGGAGACTTGGGTCACTCTCATGGTGACAGGGAGGTCATGTGTCCTACTAAGTCAGGGAATCAGCACCTTGCTCTTACTTCGCACTTCCATGAGAGAAAGCTGGCAAACCTCAGCTGACCTGTGTCCAGGCCAGGATTTTGTACTCAGCATAGACAGGGAAAGCAGAGGGCATGATAATCATCTTATGAAGGGTGGTAAGCCAGGCTGCCTGCTGACCCAGTGACTGAAGGCTTGGTTGCCTGAAAATAGTTGGAACCCTGGTTGGAACTCTGATACACAGTCATAGAACTGAATACAAATCAAATCCGTGCTGGGCACCAGTGGCTCACTGCATTTAATCCTTTGTTTCTTATTTAATTTTATTGTCAAGGATATACAGAGGGGTTACAGTTGCTTAGGTAAGGTAGTAAGTATATTTCTTATCTGCATTTATCAGAAAACCAGAAGTGTCATTGTGGTTCAAAGTGCTAGAGCACTAGCCTTGAGCTAAGGGATAGTACCCAAACCCTAAGACCAACAACAACAAAAATATTAAATCCTTTTACTCAAGCTTGAAAATTCAGATTTCAAAATGTATGCATAAGCTGGTGGATCCCACCTATAATCCTAGCTACTCAGGAGGCTGAGATCTGAAGATCCATGTTTCAAAGCCAGCCCGGGCAGGAAAGGTCGTGAAATACTTATCTCCGATTAACTAGTAAAAAGCTGCTAGTAAGCTATGGCTCAAGTGGTAGAACACTAACCTGTAGTAGAAAAAGCTAAAGGACAGCACTGAGTAAAAGTTCAAGCCCCAGTAAAGGTGTAGGCACAGACACAGACACAGACACACACACACACACACACACACCACCACCACCACCACCACCACCACCACCACACCACACCACACAAAGACAAACTCCATCAGCATAAAATTTAATTTAATTGAATATAATGGATTAATTACAACAGTGTGATACAAATTTTAAATAGGCACATTAGGATCTTCAATGAAATAAATGGAGAAAACTTCCATTTAAAAAAATATCAAGAAATTTGTGAATTGCAAGATTGCCTAATGCCAATCCATTCACGTTAAAAGCTTTGGAGAAACTAGGAATAGAAGAAACATTCCTTAAAACAACAAAGGCTATATCTTACAGATTAACCATACTAAATAGGGAAATCTAAAACCATTTCCCCTAAAATCAGAAACAAGGCAAGGATGCTCACTCTTTCCACTCTGCTTCAATATAGTTCTGGAAATTCTTAGCCAGAGAAATAAGGCAAGAAAAGGACACAAAAGGGATTCACATGGGAAAAGAAGAAATTAAACTATCCCTATTTGCAGATTACATGATCTTATACCTAAAGGACCTTTCTGCAAAGTAGCAGGATACAAAATTAACCCACAAAATTCAGTAGCCTTTCTGTATGCCAATATGTACAAGCAGGAAGGGAAATCATGAAAACAACCCATTTGCAGTAGCCTCGAAAATATATAAAATACTTGGGAATTAACCTAACCAAAGATGTAAAGATCTTTATAGTGAAAAACTATAAAAATCAGAAGAAATAAATGAGAGGATACCAGGAATTGGAAAGACCTTCCATGTTCATGGATAGGTAGAATCAATATTGTAACAATGGCTATACAGCAAAAAATGATCTGCAAACTCAATGAAATCCCCATCAAAATCCCAATGACATTCTTTACTGAGACAGAGAAAACAATTCAAAAATTCATATGGAACAGCAAAGGACCTAGAATAGCCAAAGCAATTATAGGCCAAACAAACAAACAAACAAAAAGCACAGAGCCATAATAACAAAAACAACCTGGTATTGGTACAAAAATAGAGCTGAAGATCAATGGAACAGACTAGAAGACCCAGCAATAAAACCACATTCTTACAGTATCTGATATTCAACAAAGGAGCCAAAGACATATGGTAGGGAAAAAAAAACATAGCCTCTTCAACAAAAACCAGGCATCTACATGCAAAAAACTAAAAGTGGATCTCTACTTGTCACCATGCACTAACATCAACTCAAAGTGGACCAAAGACCTCAATGTCAGACCCAAAACTCTGAAACTCCTGAGAGTAGGAGAAACATTAGAACTTCTAGGTACAGGCAGGAACTTCCTGAATAGAGTCCCAGGAGCACAACAGATAGGAGAGAGACTTGACAAATGGGACTACATTAAAATAAAAAAAGTTTCAGCACAGCTAAGGACATAGTTGCTAAACTAGAAAGACAACCAACCAATTGGGAAAAGATCTTTACCAATAATACATCAGACAAAGACCTAATACCCAATATACACAAGGACAAGAAACTAACCCCTCCCAAGCTTAATATACCTATTAAAAAATGGGCAAGGGAGCTAAGGAGAGACTTTCTCAGAAGAAGAGGTAAAAATGACAAAGAAACACATGAGGAAATATTCATCACTGGCCATAAAGGAAATGCAAATCAAAACAACCCTGAGATTCCATCTCACCACCGTTAGATCAGCCAACATTTTGAATTCTAACAACAAATGCTAGCGGGGATGTGGGGGAAAAGGAACCCTATTGCACTGCTGGTGGGAATGTAAAGTAACACAACTACTCTAGAACACAGTTGAGGCTCCTCAGAAAACTAAATATAGACCTTCCCTACAACCCAGCCACACCGCTCCTAGGCATCTAGACATCATGAACCAGGATATGACAAGGACACCTGCACACCCATATTTATTGCCTCACTATTCACAATAACCAAAATATAGGAATGACCCAGATGCCCATCAATAAATGAGTGGATCAAAAAATGTGATACCTATATACAATGGGATTTTACACAGCCATGAGAAAGAATAAAATAGTGTCATTTTTAGGGAAATACATGGAACTAGAACAAATCATATTAAGTGAGGTAAACCAGGCTCAAAGAGACACATGGTGTATGTTCTCTCGATATGTGGAAGTTAGATCTAAAATGCACTGGGATAATATGACAAATTACACAGGATTCGAGATATTCCCATACAGTGAGAATAAGAAAGGATAGTCTTAGGAGAGAACCACAAGGTGCCATACCCAAGTGCCTCTCCATATGAATATAAAGCATATACATACTGAAACTAACTCCAAAGATATGGAAACAAAGGACCTTTTTTAAATTTGTTTTTTCTTTTTCTTCAGATTCTGTGTTTTTTTACCTTATATATGGTATATTCATGTGCAAGTCTGTGGGAGGGTAAAGGGAGAGCCCAGAATCTGAGGGGAAAGTATGAAAAAGTGCAGCACTGGACATTGATGAAAATGAACTAGACAACTCAGGGGTGAAGTTGGGAGAGAGGGAATGGGAGAGAATGAAGGAACAGATGACACTGTATAAAACAAAATATACTTATTGACTGACTCATGTAAATGCAACCCCTCTGTACATCACCTCTATAATAACAATAAAGTAAAATTTAATATCTAAACAAATTTCACTGGTATTTATTTTCCAAATGTTGTTCCTTGGGTGTGCTAGCAGACATGAAATCCCCAATGGGGGCAGCCCCCATTAGATTTCTTTCAACCAATGCCCAAGTACCCTATGTTTCTGGTACAAAATATAGAAGGTTACATGGAGATTTCTTTTCAGTCTTTGTGAGATGGACACTATTTAAGCTTATAGTCCAAATTTACAAATCCTGTACTACTCCAGGAAATTTTAGAAAGGCCAATAGACAAATAGAACCAATTACAAACCTTACAAGTACAAAATGTAGACATTCAAATTTAAAAGCTCAATAGATGAAATAAACTCAATAGAGATAGAGAAAAGAACCAGAGGCTCACATCTGTAATCCTAGCTACTCAGTAGGCTGAGATCTGAGTATCGAGATTATAAAGCCAGCCTGGGCAGAAAAGTCCTTGAGACCCTTATCTCCAGTTAACCACTCAGAAACTAGAAGCAGCACTGTGTCTCAAGTGGTAGAGCGCTAGCCTTGAACACAAAGAGACTTAGGGACAGGGCCCAGGCCCTGAGTTCAAGCCCTACAACAGACAAAAAAAAAAAAAAAAGATTACTAAACTCAAAGAAGACACTTAGAATTTCATGTAAAATATAGCAATTATGAGAATAATTTAAAAAGAAAGGAAATTAAGGTCTATGGAATCTAAACCAAGATGCTGTAACATCCTTGCTATGAAGAAAAATAACCTTTCATTTTGTTTTTGTTTGTTTTGCAGCAATTCCTATGTGATCCCCTTGCAGTGCAGCTGCCCTGTGGACTTCGAGTTCCACATCACCTTACTTCAGGCTCATCGGGCCTTTTCTATTGAGCCAATGTCAGGTGAGAAAAGTCTTGACATCAAATGTCCACTATCCTTAGAGGTCTCAGGTTAAAGGCAGGATTGGGAAGTAGGTCTCAGATTCTAAAAAATCAAAACAGAATAAGTCATATTGAATGCATTATCCTATTTTCAAGTGTGTAACAGTAATAAATTTCACACATCTGACTTGCAATGAGGTGGAATTGGACACTTGCGATAAGCTGGAATGGGACACTTTTAGATGATTTATAACATTCAGATAATTTATAATAACACCAAGTTCAGTTTCTTTCAAGGTCTAAACTTGAAATCAGAAGTTAATCTTCTCTAATGCTAATGTTGACTCTTAACTCAATTTCAGATATATTCTAAGCTTTCAGTATCTTAGGGAAAGAGACTGATGAATTTTTCTTGTTTGAGGTGTGAACAACCTGATTTTTTTTAACATATTCTGAAGAACACAGATTGCTACACCTTGAAAATGGTTTTTTTTTTTTAATATTTGAAAGGGGCTGGGAAAGTAGCTCAGTGGTAGAGTGCTTACCTTGCATGCACCTGGGTTCAATTCCTCAGCACCACATAAGCAGAAAAAGTCAGAAGTGGCACTGTGGCTCAAGTGGTAGAGCACTAGCCTTGGGCTGAGGAGCTCAGGGACAGTGCCCAGGCCCAGAGTTCAAGACCCATGACTGACCAATATATATATATATATATATATATA